TACATATACATATACATATATATGTATAGAAATATATATATATATTTATATGTATTTATATATATATATATATATATTTATATATTTATATGTATTTATATGTATAGAAAAAAAATATATATGTATATGTATAATTGTAGAATATATTCTACAATTAAAGTAATAATAATGTTATTTCATATAAAAGGAATAATGACTTAACTTGAAAAAATCAAAATAATTGCAGATGTTTAGGATGTAATTAGTTTTAAGTAGTAAAAACTGTTATACAATGTAGTAAGACAGAAAATGTAATAATGTAATAATGCATTGTAATGTGATTGCTAATGGCTATACAGCTGATGCGACATTAAATAAAATAAATAAGAAAATATTGTTATTTCATTTTGTATAAGTGCACGTACCTTTCGGTTATGTTACCATGTGTTCATATTATATTAGTTTATATCATAAATGCAAAAACTCCACAGTCTAGTGATGTTCCAGGTGGCCATTTTTTATTATTCAACCATTTTCATCGCTACCCTAACTATTTGTATTACTATCGGCAAGTGCTTGTCCATTTCAAGTGTTCAGATTTATACTATGATTCATGTATCGTTTCTCAACAACAATGTTATTTTTCAAGACGATGAAGCACTCCTACACACATACTGCAAAGGTTAACGAAGCAGTACAACGTACTCTACAGTCATTCACATTATTTTTGCGAACTCTTGTAGTTTCTCGTAACTCCGCGTCCCGTAATATTTTCCTCATTCCTCATCATTTCTTCTTTCATCTACCGTTTACACGTATGCTTGTCACAGTTTCTAGAATCACCTCGTATAATTTCCTCTTGCAGTATCTCACGTCTCCGCGTTCCACAATTTTTGCCTCGTTCCTCGTTATTATTTCCTCCATCAACTTTTTGTACCTCGTCGTAGTTTCTAGAACCACTTTGTTTAACACTAGATTTACGGAGACACCTTAATAGACTTAAATTGCTGGAAGTAATCCTTTTACGAGTGAAGCAGATTTACTAGAATTAATTAGCAGGCTCAGATAAAAATAAATTTGGATACGTGCTTGTCACTTTATATGGGAAAAATTGTAAACGGTTTTTGTAAATTTCCTTGCGAAAGGAATGGGTCAAAATTACCATGCCCCGTGAACCTAGTGTTAGTCGTAGTAGATAAGAGTACGAATTCATTTAGAACTCGCTGTGCCTCCGCGTTTCGCTAATGCGCGCAATTCCGTCTCCATTTGGTCGTTGGCCAGGTAGAAAAGTAAATAGTAAAGTAAGGTGGGAAGCCAGCTAGCAGCGCGCTCCCAAGAGAGCACCGTCTCGTAAGTGAAAGTGTCTAGCCTTGACTTGCAACCTTCAGGGCAATTCATTCCTCCGTGGCCGGGCTCCATGAGATGGATGTTTCGATTCATGACGTTAAATCCGATGTCGATCTCATCTTCCTGCGTGGGCTATTGTTGCTTGGCTATATTGATCGATAAAAAAAAAGCAACGGTAGCGAAATAATTGGTCCTGGGAGCCAGGCGTGCGTCTGCTATGAACGTAACGAGCCATCAGATTCGGATCTTGGGTAGAGAGAGCCTCGAGAACTTCTTGTTTGGTGATTTCTTAGTTTCATTTCTAGATACAAGCACGAAAGAAAAGTTTCTTTTGTTCTAGAAACATGGCGCAGGTAGTTTCAGTGAAAGATCGTTCGATAATTATATTTCAAACTTAATATCTGCAACTTGTTGCCGATGATATAGATACTAGTTTGATATTTTCAGAGATCTTTTCGTTAGGAATTTCTTTCCATGCAAGATTGTAATATACGCAATATTTTCCATCGAGTATAGTCTTTAGTAGGAAATATTTTTAAGACGTTTCCCTGTTCGATGTTCTAAAGTGAATATTTATAATAGTAGAGGAAATGTATTTTATAGATAGTTTATAAATAGCATCAACATCAAACTCAAGAAATAAATGACTGAGATATGTAGGTACATGTATACAGGGTGTTCGGGCTATTACTAGTCAGCGTTTTTCTCGTACACGGTGCATATGACAAAAAAATGAAAGAGGAAAATTGTATGTTTTTTATGTGCAGTGCAACCAAGTATACAGATCATTTATATTTGTACTATTTTCTGAGAAATGAAGG